ACATTTTGTAGGTAGGATGTCCCCAAAATAATGGAATTCTTGCAAAAGCACTGGAAAGAATTTCACCATTTTATAACGTCTCCTTCAGATTTTCTGAGTGCTCAAGAATTGTCAAACCCCGTTTGAGAACCATTAAAAAGAGCTTCTTCGGGAAAATGAGTTTGGAATAGAGATTTTTTTTTTTTAGAATGTGAGGTTAAACTGTAGAAAAATATGTTTTGGGTTTACGTGTAGAATATTTTTGTTGTGAAAATGTGTGGTTGAAAATGAGTTTGAGAAATAAAGAGTTATTTTAATGAATGTCAAACACGGACTAAGAATTGATCTTGTCTTAACCATTGCTTTGCTTTAGGATGTTCATCCTATTCATGACCGGACTTTTTATCTGAATGAGCACGAGAAGCAGTTGAAGGAGGAGTTCATTAAAATTAATTTCTTTGCTTAATCGTGTTTAATATGAGATTATGTGGAGTATTCCTTCATATTAGATGTTGAACCTTGGACGTTTAAGCAATACCTTGGCAAGGCTGTGTGCATTCCGGCTGGGTGCCCACGTCAAGTGCGAAACAGACAGGTAAACCCTTCGTAAAATAGGCTTAGTAAGCTACTGTTTGAGCTGCATTTTTTGTTTTAAATGCATTTTGAAATAGTATTTTGTTGAAGAATGTGTAATTAAAAAATAAGGAAAATTTTTGAATTTGCGTGTAATATTATTTTCATGAAAACGTGTGTTCGAAAATAAGAGAGAAAAAATTGTATTTTGAAAATAATGGGTACCGAACAACGTGTTGANATGTGTAATTAAAAAATAAGGAAAACTTTTGAATTTGCGTGTAATATTATTTTCATGAAAACGTGTGTTCGAAAATAAGAGAGAAAAAATTGTATTTTGAAAATAATGGGTACCGAACAACGGTTAAATAAAAATGCACATCAAAATTATTTTGTTATCACCATTTTGTAAGTTTATATTTTTTTTCCACATTTTATTAATGACGTAATGGTTAATATACTGTTACCCTGTTCTTTTTCAACCCTGCACGAAAGTTGCTATTGACTTTGTATCCCCTGAAACTGCTCAGGTTTGTATGAAATTGACAAAGGAGTTTCGGTTACTACCTCAAAATCATAGACCTAAGCAAGATATACTAGAGGCATTTACTACTCCCACTAAAATTCCGTCATTTCGGCAACATTATTGCTGCGAATCTCACACTGCAAACATGAAAAGCACTTGAATTGCACGTGAATTGCACGATATAAGTAATGTAGTTTGGTATACCGAGTGATGTCAGTTTATTAAGAAATTCAGCGTGAAATAATATACATGCAATAGGAGGAAATCTATAACATGGGAAGCGCTTCCCTGCTACAAACTATGCTGAGACAAATCTTCTGTGTCATATGTCCGAAGGATTCAAACACTGTCTGTCCCCCGTTTCCCTTGTAAAATGCCATCAAGTTCTCTTCCTAATTGCTAACCATAAATACCTGCAGATCACAATAGCAAATCACCTTTGAGAAAATAAGTTAGAAGATAAAAGACACAATAGTATAAAGAGGCCAAAAAACAATAAGACGTGTCACTTTCTTGTAGGAAACAGGGAAAGAAATTAACGATAAGTTTAATCATTTTTGCTTTATAAAAAATGTAGCAAGTCAAATGCAAAAATGAACTCCCACAAAATTATATCCCATTAGATTTTAACTTACTCGTGAAAGTGCTTTCATCGTCAGGACATAATAAAGTAGCACAAGATCATTATTTTAAGGACAAGTAGTTGTTATTAAGGAAAAAGCACTTGAATTGGACGATAACAATTTTTTACTATTTAGCTATGGCAACCATGATCTATGTCTATTAGTTTTATCGTGATCACATTTATATTTGCTACAGGTGAAGAAGCTTGCTGGTTTTGCTCAAAGTGCTGCCACCACTGAAGCGAGAAATATGATGTCAAAACTAAAGCGAAATTTCTTATACTCTTAGA